CACCTATGAGTCTCCTATTTAAACTTTCTGATTTTTTATATCTGAAATATGGTATATTACTATAATTAAGACAAAACAGATTAGGGCTATCTAATTACTATTTATATCTAAGTACTACCTTATTTAATATTACTAAGTATTTATAGTCCTTTTAAATTTACTCTTAATGCAAACTTACTAAGTATGGTACCAAGATTACCTCTTAGATTTTATCTAATTTTAGTAGATCCTGTATTTACTAAAACCAGTTTGGTGTCAAAAGTGTTCGAATTTCGATAAGTCTATTTCTTTTCTATAGTTTCTTTTTATGTTCATTGTATCATCCGCTAGTGTGCCTTCTTTCTATTTCTGGTATGTTCACTGCTTTTTTCACATCAAGCACTAACTCTTAATATTGGAAAACTTCTTTTCAGGAACTTCTTTATATACTAATCTTCTATTTATATGGACTTAGTCACAAAGCTTTGCATACATTCATATGCTTCTATAGATTACAGAGTTTTTGCCTCCAGCTAAAATTGAACTATTGACCTTGTCTGTAAAAGGAGAGTGTCTAGACTACTAGGCTACATGACCTCATCTTTGCTCATTTTTCTTTTATAATTTCTTGTCATTCTATCTATTAAGATTGTACTTAAGTTTTCTATTACTATACTTAAGTTGTTTTTTCTTTTTTGCATTATTTTTATTATCTTTTTTGTTATTTTCTGCTTTTCACTTCTGCTTATAAAATAGTCTGCTTTCAGTAACAAAATAGCTTTCCTATTTGTGTAATTAACCTACTAAGTAATATTAATTAATTTTTTAGTTTTGACTCTTTTAACTCTACTATTCTGCTTCTCTTAACCTTCTTAGTTTAATTTTTTTTATATAAAGCTACTTTAACTATTATTTTTATAATATATAACCTCTAAGGCATAAGGCCTTTTTTTACTACTCTTTTTAAAATTAGTTGGTTCTTCTTATCTTTATTAATGTATACTCATTCATGCTTATTTCTTTTAGATAAGATTGTTCTTAAGTGAAGCATTAGAGCTTATTGGTTTAGGTCTTGTATTTGAAAGCTTTCTTTCACAAATCTTGTTTGGCTATTTGTTATTAAAATGCTTTTTATTTCTTTAAACCAAGTTGCTTTTTTTTATTTGCTTTTTTGTTCTGCAAGTCTTTTAATCTGTTGTTATATTAAAAGTTTTTTACTTTTTAAATCCAAAAGTTGCTTTATATGCCAAAGACTAATACTCTTTAGTTTCTTCTAATTTTTAATTTTTTTATGCTCTTAAAGTAGTTCTATAATTATTTTTAAGTTTCTATTTAAGTCTTAACATAGCTACCAATTCTTAAACATATATTCTAACTTAATTTCTATATTTAGATCTTTTGCTAATTTTAAATTTTTATATTAAGGTTATATTTGAAATTGTTGATCTTCAAAAGACCTGTATTTAAAAACCATATTGGCTTTGAGTTGCAAAATCTTGTTGTGCTTTCTTAATTTGTAGTAATATTGATTAGCTCAAAATCTCTGAATTATTAATTCTAATTAACCATTTTGTGAGCATATGTTTAGTATGCTTTTGCCAAAAACTTTTAATGTCTAATAGTTCTTTATAACTTGTTATACTATTGGCTTTTGTTAATGCTAATTCAGTTTTTTACTTTGTTAGTTTAAGAACTAGTTGGTAAATTTTATTATATATTTTTTTGTCTATTAGATATATATTTGTTCTGTATTCTAACTATAGCAGCAGCATCTTGCTGTTAAAATATTTTATTTGTCTAATTGATATTTTTTTATTTCTAACAATACTTGTAAAAATGTATATCTTCTTTTTGAGCTTATATATATATTGCTTATATATGTTTTAAGCTGTGATTCAGACTTCTAAATATTAAGCTCTTTTTCTTTATCTAAAGCTTTTACTTATGTTTTTTGTTTTTTTAATGTTATAGATTTCTGTGTATTTTCTGCTTTGGCATTTATTACTATTAGTTCTGACTTTTTGGAATTTATATTTATATTGTTTATATAATAGAAATCATTTATTTTGTTTAGTATCTTATGCATGTTATGCTATAAATTGGCTATAAATATAGTATTATCTGCAAATGCTAAACAGTTTATATTAAAGTTTTTTGTCTTTTTACTCTATCTTATTTTCTTCTATAATTCTTAAGTAGTTATATTATAGTCTTTTTTCAGACTTTGTATTCTACAAAGTAATAAATCATAAATTATTTTTTATATAAGAGAGGATATTACTTTTTCTTAGTTGATTTCATCTTTTACTTTAAAGCCTTCTGATAACTTAAATTTAATAATTACTTGAATTTTTCTTTTGCTATAAATTTCTAAAATAAATTTCAAAGCTTTTTTTAAAATCTTTATTCTTTTAAGTACTTTTTTAATGCTTTCTAATGCAATAAAGTCAAAAACTTTCTTGATGTCTTGTAAAAGCAGCCAATATTTTTTTTTTTCTTTTTTAACTTTGTTTAATATATTACTTAATATATATATTGAAGCTTTTATGCTTTTATCTAGTAGTCTTGCAAACTTATATTTTTGCAAAATTTGATGCTTTATAAGTACTTTACTTAGTCTTTTTTGTATTATACATACTAGACTTTTTTGAAATGTTTTTAAAAGTATTACTAGTCTAATATTTGCTAAAGAAAGCTATTTACTTTATAGAATATTAACAAGAACTACTTTTGCAAAGTTTACTTAAACTCTGGCACTAACTTTATAACATCTTTTTAGTATTTTTAGTTTTACTGCTTTGTTCTTAGACTTCTAATTTAGATAGCTTGAAAGAACTGTAATCTATCTTTAATATATTAAAGTCAGCCTAATATCCTTTTTCTTTAATCTAAAATTTAATAGTCTAGTTAGTAGTATCCTTACTTAAGGTTCTTGTTTATCTAATTTTTTTATATTGATAACCATTTTGTCTATGCTTTGATCTAGTTTTTTATCATAACTTTTTATTTCTATATTTGACAAAGTAGTTGTTTTCTTTTGAAAAATAGTTATAACAACTTTTAAATATAATTTAAAAGCATGTTTTCCAATAGTTTTTCTTCTATTTTATCTAATCTTTTTAAAATTCTGTTAAGAATATCTTGTAAATTGCTTTTTAGCTTTTTAATTACACTTACTACTAATTGCATATTATCTTTATACTTCTTTTTAATTAAATTATCTTTACTCTGCTAATTTTTTTTATTGTTATTTTTTTTTTTAAATTCTTTTTTGTTTTTTAAAAACCTCTTATATTGTATACTATTTTTAAATGGGAAATTCTAGGCATCTCTAGCTAGAGATATATAACTTATATATCTCTGGCTTTTGGACCAATCAAACAATGTGAATATCATGTGACAAGGCTTCAATCAATAACTGACATCATTCTATATCTCTGATCTAAAGAACCGAATCGCCTCCGAATTGCCTTTAAATATCGTGATTTGTCATATGTGTGTGTTACCAAACAAAGAATTTAAGAATTTTTCTCACTTACCGTTACTATTGTTCACTGACGCCCAAACAGTGCAACCAAAAAAAAAAAAATCACCCACTTGTACGTACATAGATAAAAGAAAGTACATTTGCTCTCTAAAATGAACCTAACAATATGAACTTTTAATAAACTAAGTTTCAAAGTTAAACCAATTGATATCGTTGAATATATAAAGCAAAAGAAGATTCAAAATAAGGAAGGAAGGAATCTCTTGAACCAGCAACGTCTCTTACTCTGCCAATTACTATTGCTACACTGACGCCAACCAAAAAAAAAAACACTCACTTGTACATAGGTAAAAGAAAGTACAGTTGCTCTCTAAAACGATCCTAACAATATGAACTTTTAATAAACTAAGTTACTAATTGACACTATTGAATAGATAAAGTGAAGGAAAATTCAAAATAAGGAAGGAAGGAATCTCTTGAACCAGCAATGTCTTATACTCTCAGCAAACAAGTCAAGGACTTTCTGATTAGAATATTCAAAAGAAGTTAGCTCTTTTATTTTAATATAAACTGAATATTAAAATTGTTGTAAGGTTTTAAAACAGGCGAAAAAATAAAAAAAAAAAAGAGAATTTACAAATAAGAGCCTGGAAAGTGAAAGTAATTACAAATACGGGCCCAAATTAAAAATAATTACATATGAGGGCCTAATTTTTAAAAAATATTACATATAGGAGCCTAAGTCTATTGATGGATGAAAAACATGATCATGGAACTACTATGGCACAATGATTATTGACTTATAACAATAGCAAAATCACAATTATAGGATTATTGATTGTTTTATTATAGGCATTTATAAGATAAAAAAAAAAAAATGAAGTGCCAGCAGCAATCACTTTCACTTAAATATTGTATAGAAAATAGTGTTAAACTAGCATAATTATTTATAAGACGATGAAGTTTCAACAGAGCAGCTCTCAAGAGCAGAACAATTATCTTCATATTAAATGTTATTCCAATTTGCTTGATATAATAATGGTTTGTTATAACAATAACCGATTTTATATAAAGAAAATGAAATTTATTAAATTTAAAAAATTTCTTTTCTCGTTTATAATTACTAATTTACAATCGATCGTTATATTTTTTATGTACTTAATAACTACATTTATCGATGCTTATATTTCTTATACTAATAACGATCAGGCCATAGGCTTGAATAATATCACTGTTATTTTGGGCCCTTATATGTAATATTTTTTAAAAATTAGGCCCTCATATGTAATTATTTTTAATTTGGGCCCGTATTTATAATTATTTTCACTTTCTGGACCCTTATCTGTAAATTCCCCCCAAAAAAACATGAATTTCTGAACCTATTTACTTCACATTGCATAGAAAATTTTAAACCATAACCATTGGTATTTAAAACAAATGAAGAAACCAAGCCTTTCAAATAGTGACAGCATAATAAAGCTATAAGAATTTCAAATTAAGGTCTGTTGGACTTGAAAGAAAAAAACAGTTTAACATGGCCAACATGCAGCAAGAAGGAATGTCACAAGAACAGTTTATTAATGGTAAATTTTTAATAATAACATCCCGATCACTATGCCAAGATCATGGGTGATCGGGATGATTTGTTTAATACTATATAAAAAAACTAACAGCCGTCTCTGCTTTAAAAAGCTGTTCCAAATTAATCTACCAGCTGTGATGAAAACTATGAATCTCAAACCCTACTAGAACCTACATTGGAATCTGAAATTTCATTCGAGCACGAAACCTTCTCAGAATTCGAGATCACCTTGGAACCCGAAACCCTATTGGAACCCAAAGCCCTACTGGAACCCAAAACCCCAAGTAACTCACTTTTTCAGTGTAATCTGAGTTATGTCTCTCTTGAGGCCTTCAAATATGTCGCTGATCAATTCGCTGAAACAAGCGGGTTTAAAGTGATTTTCTTAAAAGGCAATAATCGTAAGGATGGTTTGCGTTCTGCTCAAGTTTTTGTTTGTAATTGCTATGGCGTGTTCAAACCTAAACCTAAAGATCCGAATAAGAAAAATAGAAATAAGGAATCAAAAAAGTGCAACTGCCCCTAGTCTGTTCGTCTTAATTATAACAAGAACGATGACAAATATTATATATCACAAGTAAATCTACACCATAATCATAAACTAATTCCACTACAACTCATGCGCATTTTGCTTGCTAACCACGAAATACCAGACTTCATTAAAGAAGAAATTCTTACTGCAAAAAAAGCAGGAATTGCAATACCGCAAATCCAATCTCTTCTTACAATAAAATACAGAACAGTCGTGAAGGAGTGGTTAATAAAGGATGTGTATAATCTGGTTGATGCTGATTGCACGTTGCGTAATAAATTTCAAGCCCACAATTTTCTTCTTCTCTTCCAACAAAAACATAATAATGACTCCGAATTTTCTTACAAATTTGTATTGGATAAAAATGACTGGTTGAAACATGTGATCTGGGTGTATGCTGCACAAAAACGACAATATATGCATTTTCATGACACGATTGTGTACGATAACACATATAAGAGCAATTATTTTTTGATGCCTTTTGGGGTGTTTACAGGCGTCACCAATAACGGTCTCACTTATTGCGCTGCTGGTGCACTACTTCGTGACGAAACATCTTCGAGTTTTGAATGGCTTTTCAAAGCTTTTATTCATATATTCGGCACCGCACCTAATACTATTCTTACTGATAACGATCTCGCGATGGCTGATGCTATCTGTTCTGTCCTTACCAATAAGTAAGGTACAAAACATGGTCTTTGTATCTGGCACATGGTAAAGAATATAAGGTCCAATATGACCTCTAAGCTTGGAATGAAGTATAATATATTTCACACAGATCTTATGAAATGTTTAAGTCATTATATTGACAAAACCGAGTTTAAAAAGCAATGGAAATGTATAATAGAAAATGAAAACTATGCTGAGGCACAGTCGTACCTGGGAGTTCTTAGTCGGTGGCGTGAACGGTGGGCCTCAGCATATTTAAAAGATTATTTTTTTGCTGACATGTTGTCAACGCAGAGGGGTGAATCAATGAACAGTCTTTTAAAGAGCTTCGTAGATTGTAAAACAAGGCTCACGGAATTTTTAGCAGCCTTTGAGCATGCACTTTACTTTTGTGAAGAGGCGGAACATATTTCTGCTTACAAAGAGCTTGTCTACCCCATACCTTCAGATTTTCCAAATCCAATTGAAAACCAGGCTGCTAGTTGCCTGACAAGATATGCCTAGAAGAAATTTGAGGCAGAATAGAGTAAAAAAGACGCATATGCGTGTGAGGAAATAACTGATGACAATGGAGTGTGTTGTTTTAAGCTGTCATGTTATGAAAGGCCTGATGTTATACGTCGTGTCTACTATGATGGCAAGGTGCTTGCTTGTTGCTGCCACAATCTCGAATTTGCTGGAATAGTTTGTCGCCATTCCCTTGCAGTTGCGGTTCACCTGTCTCTCGCTCAACTCGATCCTGTCTACTTTCCAAAACGCTGGCAAAAGGACCCGCCCGAGTTGGAGCTTGCAAAAGACTATGTTAATTTTTATAGCCGTACACAACCACAAGATCCAGGAACTTTAGCATCACATAAATCATTTGGTGAAGGTGACTCTCAAATCCGATTTATGCGTATCCATCAACTATCAGGAGAAATCGCAAACAAAATTGCAATGGATCCCCATAAATGTGCAGATTTTACGTCATACTTCGAAAAATATCTGGAGGCATTATATGATGCTGACAATGATCTTGTTTCAATTTATGAGAATGCATCGGCATCCCCGGAACATCCAATAATTAACAATCCTATAAAAAGCAAGGCCGTTGGCCGACCAAAAAAAGGAAGAATTAGGTCCAAGAAGGAAAAAGAAGGAAGAATTAGGTGTAAGAAGGAAAAAGAACAAATTAGATGTGAGAAGGAAAAAGAAAAGAAAAATATGCCCCCTGTAAAAAAAAAGCAAGGCCGACCAAAAAAGAACCTTGAAATGGTCACGACCCAAAACCGAGACAAGAATATTAATCTAAACCAGTCCCGAAAACGCGTTTGTAGCAGTCAATAATATTACATAGGGTAAATTTTTTTTTTACAATACATTTAGTTTATTCATAAGATGAAAGTTAATTGACTTTTACATTTTACAATGTTTATCGACAAGATTCAAAATTTTTTTTTTCTTTCACATTAATATTT